ATGCCTATGTGGGCGCTCAATGCTAGCTTTTGTAGAATAACAGTTCTATGTTCTTGTTTCTGCCGTTCTTTTTGCTGTTCGGTTCGGTTCCGTTGCTCGTCATCAGAATTTCTTGCAAACCGTACTCTCTGTGTAGCCAGAGCGCAGCCGCATTTGAACATATTTACATTGTTGTTGCTGCCTGTTTTCCCATCTAACGGGAAATTATTACAGTTTCTTGCAACATTGGTTGCTTTCTCTGGCAGCTAGACACAGAGACACACTTGCTGGCTGCCTCTGCCACCAGAACACACACACACACGCACACTCATTTCCATGCATGAATGGCTCACAAAGTTCACTGGAGCAAAGTTTTTTTTTTCTGTCCGAAATAATGCTGTACTCATGTACAAACAAATGTCCATATGTAAGCCTAAAGGAAAACGAGAATTATTGCATTTCCAATCGTACTTTCGCACAAACCATGTTGCCCGCCTACCTTCCTACCTATGAATTGGCTCCATTCTATCCAGATACCCTGGTAAAATTAATGAGGTAAAGCCATTTCAAATAAGACTATCCATCTCCGCATTTTCTGTAATTTACCTTGTCAAATTTCACTGAATAGAAAACCGGTTCCCATCTCTGATTTCTGTGTGTTTCGATACAATTGATTTATTTATTAAAATTTTGACAATGAGATGTTGTCAAATGAATAATTTGGAAAAAAAATTGTAGAAATATGACTGCATGACTTTATCTTCCTAATTCTATCATGCTGCATACGTACTAAGCTGTTGTTGTTTTTTTTTTTTTTTTTTTTTGCTTGCAAAGCATTTAAAGAAGTGTGTTTTAATTTTCCGCCCTTAAAAAGCAGGGCTTGAAAGAACAAATTCCCTAAGATATGCATTAGAATCTTAATTTAACTCTAACGGCGCCACAATTTCGCATCCCATTTGAACAGTTTGCGTTAAGGAGCACAGGGTTCATCTATGACATTCTGATGTACACTGAGCCGACAATCGCGTATTAACTAGTTTTGATCCAGCATCATTGTTAGATTAATTTGCTTTTACCCAAATAGCCCCCGGAGATCATTCAACTCTTCCGGATCAATGAAACGACAAATTATCCTCCATAACCTTTATGTATGACGCCTTTTCGAAATGGGGACTTGACGGACAAAATCTACGCGAGGCATTTGAGAGACGTGCAGAGGAAAACTGTATGATTTAAGATTAAAAGATTAAAAGAGAGTGGTCAAGAGTGTTACGAGACAACTATAAAGACAGGCTAACTGTCGTTTGTAGGTTTTTGTGCCGACAGAATAATTTGTGAACATGGATTATGGACCAACAAGCATTTTTTTCAACTAATATTAACTTTAGGAAATACTCCAGAATACAAATTACTGTAGGAATGATTCGAGTCACAAATGGAATAATATTGAATATAATGAGCAATTATTGACAAGTCCATTGCAAATGATTCGATCGAAAAAAGATACACTATTTTTTGTGGAGTAGTTGGAGCTGGTTAGTTGGAGTGGTTTCTTACTCTCAACAAAGATGTACTGTCATGTACGAGCATTTTAGGAGTGACAACATGTTCGCCCATTACAAGGTTAATTGTTCAAGCAATTTCGAGTTGGTATTTTCCCTACCTAATGACTACTTGACGATGACTTGAAATATATACGCTACAGTTCGAAAGTTTGATATAGCCCTTATTTTCGGTATCTTTTTCATCGGAAATAGGTAAAAAGGCTCGATATATTCCCAGAAAATGTAGTCTCTAGTACTTTTTACTTTTCAATATACCTATTTAAACAATTGAAAAATATTTGTGCGCCGTGGTACGGCGAATAACATTTCCATGGAGATGTCATATTAAATGGAAATATGAACATATTATTAGAACAACCCCTAGAGGGCGCGAAGGTAAAAACAAATCGAGATACTTTTCGAGTTTTTCACCCGGTTTCGAACCTTAAATAAAATTCTACAGAACTGGACTAAAGCTAAACAGACAGAGAGTAGGACAGAAAGTGGCGATTTCATTAGGGGCATTTTAAAATTATATTAGCCTAGCGACGTAACGAGAGAAATAATCTTGTATGCATCTATTCGCCAAAAACGTAACTTCGAATTTAAATGTGACATTTTATCTCAAAGAATGTTTTCAATTTTGGGAGTTTATTTTGTTGCAAAACAGAAGAGGATATCATATGTTTCCTTGGTGCTGATTTTCCTTCGGAAACTCCTAAGGGTTGTTCTGGCCAGCTTCGCTTCATATACCGCCCTCTAGACTCATTTACTCGTTCTCTGGCAAAGCAATTTCTCCTTTGGTGATGTCAGTGAGTGTTACGCGTGCTGCTTCTGCTGCTGCTGCTGAAGCAGATAGGAAGAGCCATACCAAGGAGCAAATGAAAACAACAACACAAAGCCGGTGATGACGTCTGCATGCGCCCAATTTGGGGCACATACATGAATTCGTATAACAGATTTCCACCACCATGCTCCTCATTTCGCTATGCTGCGTCACAGTGCCCCTGCCGGCTACGTTCCCACAACCATACTGCCACCATCCAACTGGCTGTGTGTGTGTGTCATCATTATCGTCGTCGTCGTTGTCATGCCGCACTTATTTATACATATTTTATAATGTAAGTCAGTCGGTACATGGGAATGAATGAACCGTCGTCTGTATGTATGTAGAGGCACGGTGTGGATACCGGCATGCAGCAGTGGCGGTTCCAATGTGGCATGTACACAATTACATCACAGTGTGTGGAAACAGTCGAATAAAAATTAACCATCGACACAGTGCAGTAATGCTCTCAGCTTGTCAACTCAACGTTGGCAGTATCTTCGACTGACTAACATCGGCTTGTCCGATTTTGGTACGGGGGGAAATTGAAGTTTCGCACTCTTCTAGCATAGATCCCAATATATATAGCCCAAATGTTTTATGTACACCTAGGTGTCGACGACACACAGCTGATGTCTATTAAGATACCTACCCGCACTCTACTCTACCCTAAAATGTTGTAACTACAGCTCTTTTTTCCTATTTTTTTTTTTGTTTTTTAATTTTCATTTATTAATCAAATAAATTTAATACTTTTATGTAGAAAAGTATTTGAAAAATAAATGTTATTTATATGTTATTATTAACATCGGATAAATTGTAGGGTTCGTCAACCATTCGACGAAGTTTAACTTTAAAAAGATAAATTGAAATGTACCATTCTAGGATTAAAGCGTTAATAGGAAGACTTGTTAGCAAAAGAGATATCCGATTATGCGAGTAGTATTTTATTAGCGGCATGTTCCATTTGACATATACCCAGATATTTTGTGTAGTTCCTTGGAATGCATTCACTACGAAATTTTTGCGGACAGCAGTGCAGGGGCATGCACACCACTGGGAGTGGACTTCTTTTTCGGAACACTCAGAGGCGGATGTATAAAATCCATCGTTTGTTCTTGTTTCGGCGCACTGTGTGTGACATGGTTTTGTAATGTTCATTCAGTAGTGAAAGCAGTAGCAGCAACAACAACTACAACGCGACTAGGAAATAATGGCAACGGCATCTACGCTGTTAAGCTCAATGGGTCATAGAACTTTTCCTATTCTCTCTTCACCCACAACAACAACAACGGCAACAATAACATCAAAAAAAAGCAAAAACATACAAACACAAAAAAAAAAAACACAGCAGGCCCCATGTAACTAGCAAAAGGGTGGGCAATTTGGGTAGGGCGGGTTGGTCTGTGAACTCCACTTGGGGGAGGAAAAGCTACTGACCTCCGCTTCATTTGCTTCCTATGGTAAAGTAACGACGGTCTATTTATTGATTTTCCAAGCAGAGGGGAAGGCAAACATAGCACAGAAAAGGAAACAGTTGTGAGCATAATTCAGATTGGTAGGCAACGGCTGCTGATTTTGAGGCCTAGACGCTTAGCGGGTTACGAAGGGGTTCCAGTTCACTGTAATATCCCTCCTCATCATTGTTTTTATTTTACCCTATCTTTCTGTTTTTGGCCATTCGTTTAGCGGACAATAGCATCCTTTTGGCGTTCAGTTTCTGGGGTATTTGCCTCCTTCTGTAGAACAAAACGCGCGTCTTTAAAACGTTTTGAACTCACAATGGGCTCTTTGATGGAAATTACTTGTTGTTGTACTGTGTCAAAGACTAACAACAATGCAAAGAATTGTTGGCACTTGAGGCCTTTGAGTCGGATCTGAGACTTAAAACAAAGACAACAAAACCAATAATAATTACAACTACAACAAAATATCACCGCACCAGCTAACACTCTATCATCATCCTCACTCATTACACTTGGGAGCATAAGGAGGGGTGTGTTTGAGCGTTTCACGAAGGAGAAAGCAACGTCAACGTCAACGTCTTTGTTGTTTTGTTTGTTCGGCTTATTTGTGAGAAAGTAAGAAGAGAGAACGAGAGTGAACACACGAGAAAGCGCAAAGAAAAGAAAACGAAAAAAGAAACACATTTTTATTTTATTACGTTACAAATTCCACCAAATGTCTTCCGGAATAAATTGTCGTGAAATTTTCGTGTTTTTGGATATTTTGATTTGGAATCAAACAAAGCGGAGAAATCGACAAAACAATAATGATAATAACAACAACATCAACAACAATATCAACAGTAACAATTGTAGTAGCGGTGATACAACAGCAACAACAACATCAACAGCAACAACCAACCTTCAACCCAACAAACAAACCGATTTGAATACAACAGCCAATCGCAGTGGCCAGACAACAGCCGCCGCAGTGAAAGTGATAAAGTGCAAAAATTCAACACACAATCGTAACAATAAAACTATTACAACACCAAATGCGACCAACTCTACCGGCAACAAAAACAACAGCAGCAACAACAATAGCAATCAAAGCAATAACAAGCATCGCCAACATCAACAGTCACAGCCACATTTCAACGATTTAATGAAAAGTCAAATTGAAATCCTCCAAAAATTTAGCTGAAACTTTCTAAAACTTCGCAACTAAACAAAAGCCAAACACAAGTGTGACAACGCAAATAACGGCAAAGGCGAATAAAAAAATCACAAAAGAAAAAAAAAAACGCCAAGAGAAAAAGTGGAACCTTTTCATGAAGTGATCATTGCAAAAAAAAAAAAAAAAAAAGAAAAGATAAAAAAAACGAAACCAAAATCAATAAATATTTTTATTCTGTTTGTTTAATCCTTTTCCCGGAGAGGTGATCATCGTTCATTGTTTTTGTTGTTTTCATCGTCGTAGAAAAAAATTAAAAAAAAAACTAAACAAATAAAATCCACAAAAGGCTTTAAATTTAGAAATTTATTAAAGGATTTACTTCTAAGTAACAAAAGAAAAGAAAAAAAAAATAATAAGAAAAATCAGAACAAGTGTCTTAATCGCAAAAAATAATAATAATAATAATAAAATAATTATATATAAAGAAAAAAAAAAACTACAAGATAACAAATAATTATTAATTACATTATTTATATACATACATATGAATAAAGAAAGAGAAAGAAAATTAGCATTTTTTAATACAAATTATACATTAATAAACCTAATAAAACAAAATTAAACCAAAATTGTACCTATCACTTAAAAACAACAAAACAAAAATTAGCTAAATTTTATATACAACAAAAACAACAACAACAATATACATAATAACAAATTTATTAATAACAAATAGTGGACTGTGATACTAATATTTCACGTCAGATTTATACCAGTATAACCAAACAATTCGAAACGCCACAAACCGACTGCAAGAGCCGACTGAATTGGCAGCATTTGTAGCAGAAACAGCAGCAAAGCCAACACAACAAAAAAAAACACACACACATACACAACCTGAGCCTGCCCCAAAACCTCCCCCCCCATTCTGATGATCTTCACTCAACCAACCAACCAAGTAACACAAGTGCAATGTTAAAAGGCCTCGGAATGGCCTAAAAAGAAGTCTACAACACACTTTCAATTTCAATTTCGACCGACAAAAACATCAAATGTTTCTTCATTTAGACCAACAACAAAAATAAAATACCTTTTAATAAGACAACAACAACAACAATACCAATAACAACTACAATTACATAGCATTTATTTAAACAAAACGTAACAAAACAAAAACAAACAAAAACAAAAAAAGATCGGAAACATAACGCGAGAATATCTACCTATATACCGATACAACAAATACAATTTGTTGTGTCCTTCTACAACTTCTTCGTTAATAAATATTTAAAACAAAAATGCCTTAATCAAATTTAAAACAACAACAAGAACAACTACATTTTGTACAACAAGAACACGCCGTTTAAACGCATTCGACCAAACCAAACTCAGTTTTTTTACGTTTTTCGTGCAACAATTGAAACGAACACAAGCCGAACAAAAACATAAACCAAACACCAACAACAACATCAAGTGACAAATTAAACTCTCTTTCGGTTTTTTTGTTTTTCGATCGACGCCGCGCAACAACACCAACAAAAACTATAATGTATACGCAACGTATGTTTGATATGTGGAACAGTGTCACATCCAAACTGGAAGCACACGCAAACACCTTGGGACAAAGCAATGTACAATCGCCAGGACAGAACAACTCAAGTGGATCGATAAAAGGTAAAAATCTTCCGGCCGACTGAGTGAGTGAGCCCGGCCGGTAGGCTGGGAGTAGGCGTGAAGCACTGCCATACGCCATTAAATCTTTGATATATATCCTTACAATATATAAATATCTCCACCTATATATGTATGTAAATTCGAAAATTTTCTGCACCAGAACTTCGAAGGCTAGCTTTGCTAAACGTTTTTTTGTTTCATTTGACGAAATACAAATTTTAGGGATTGAAATCAGGTCTGGGAAAGGATTGAATTTAAAGACTTCGGGCATGTCCACAAGCACTGTTCTCAAACACTCGCTAAGGCCATTGTGGCAAATGTTGTCTTCAAAAGCAACGATTATAGTTGACCCGTACATCTTCCTTCGTACGATGGCAAGATCTGATCAACTCAATAGAACAAACGAATTGTCTTGGCGCCCTTCAGAAAGACAAACGGTTGGTGTTGTCTCTTCCCCAGTTACGTCGGAGAAACATTTGCCTCGAACATAGGTCCGTCCCTGTACCTTATTTTGGTCGATCTGTAGGTAATGCCGAGTGGAAACACCACAGTCACTGACATGTTAATTAACGTTTCTGCCAAGTTGTAAATCGCTCGACAAATGCGGTAATCATCCCTCCCCCCCAGACGGGTGTATGTTCGTCGGCATTCTTTTTTTTCGGCGATCTTTCGTTGTTGTGTATGTATTTGGCCAAAAGTACCCGGTAGACACTTAAGCCACGAGGTATTTAACTGCAAATTGAAAGACGATTCGAAGTGGCCACAATTAAATGGTTTGTCATACCCTCGCACACTCACACACGGCTTGCAAACTAGTGAAAGTCGCAATTTCTCCAAATGCCAGTAGCCCTCAACGACGAAGCTCAGTGGAACGTTCCCAATGAAAAATTGAAAGGGCAGAGCGGTAACTATGCTAGCCCGCGCAGCAATTCCCTTTTGTCCGGAACTAGTTTCGGCGGGAATAATTTTTATTTCAAGACATGCTATGAATAAAAACACATGTAAAGTAGCAAATGTGTAATTCGCTCTGAGAGATCTGCGTGGCTCAGAAAGCACGGGAACCAAAATACCGTAAAATTTTTAAAATTAGGCGACAATCCTTTAAATCGATATTTCAGCCACATTTTCTTTGCCAAATTTGAATTGTAAAAAGTTTTCAAACATTGTCGTCGTCATTGGTCGCCATTTTTTTAGATTTGCTTAAAAACATTGCTAGATCTTCGGGTATGGGAATGGTTTTTTTGGTAAAAAAAAACTTCAATACTGGGAAAAAGTAATATATTCTTGTACGTATTGCAACGGAGCTATGTATGCTATCGAAAACATATGTTCATGTGTCCGACCTACAAACTTAATTGAGATTTGAGCCAACTACTTTGTATTTTTCTCTAATTTCCTATGGAGATTCGTTTTTATACCCTCCACCATAGTATGGAGGGTATATTAACATTGTCATTCCGTTTGTAACTCCTCGAAATACTCATGTCAGACCCAACTTTATATTCTTGACATATATACTTTATATTCTTGATCAGCGTAAAATTCTAAGTCGATTTAGCGATGTCCGTCTGTCTGTCTGTTGTAATCACGCTATCTTTCGAATGAATTGAGATAGATGGCTAAAATTTTGCACACATGTTTAGTATTCCAGTAGGCAGGTTAAGTTCGTGAATGGGCCATGTAGGTCTACGTTTTCATATAGCCCCCATATAACGGTACCTCCCGATATTCGGTATTTTGATGATTTTAGCGACATTATTCACCGGAATTGTGAAAATTTGGTATTTCAAGTTCGAAATGGATACTACACCCTCAGACAGAAAATTGTCTATGCTGGTCCAGGTCTTCCAGGCCGAACTTACTACTTTTTAACTTGTTTAATATATTCTGAATTCGGGACCGCGCCGACGTAGAGTTTTTATAGGGCTATAGCTCGTAATTGAGCTTGATTGTATGTATTTGGTAAGGCTGTATGTTGTATCTTCTTAGATTTGCTATCATCCACAAATTATAAAGTTTGGCTATGTCGGTCATTTGCAGACACCACACAATAAACACCACTGAAAGCCAATGCATTCAGAGAGTAAAAAAATTAGGAGAACACATAGGAACGTGTGACTTCTGCTCTCTCCTGATCAAATGTCACATCAAAATTCTGAAATGTTAGGAGGGATTGAATATGGAATAGCGTCCTTTCTATATTCACCCATAAACTTGAAAATTTAAGGGTGCTTCTTAAGTCTCTAGCATTTTAGTGGGAATATAAATGATATTCATGTGAATCGATCTACCCATTCATGTAGGCGTCTAACTTCAATGAGCTGAAAATTTCCCTAATGCATGACACGTACCATCAATCGTTTTTCTATTTAATTCCCCGTTTACAGTTATTGCCGTTTCAGGCATTAAGTCATGCGGGCTGAGCTGAGCCTAGCTGCCTGCAATCAGCGACGGCGGACGACGACGGCCCTGTAAACAGCGTCCCCCATAATTTCAACCATAACTGCCGATGGGAACACACAATTACTTTTTGGGCTTTCAACAACTGGAAATCGTAAAGTGAACGCAGCCAAGAAAGCCATTAGAGAAAGAAAGAGGGAAGGAAATGTTTGAAAACCACAACTAAAATACAACAAAACACACGCCCGAACAAAAAACAATGTTCCGAAGAAAGCAAACAGATTATGAATTTTTGGGCATAGATTTGAGGAGAGTTGTCATACGCTGGCATATCTTCATATAGACGCTTCCGATTAAAATACACAATACTAGCAAGAGAGAGAGAGACAAAGAGTGAGAGCCAGGGAAAGAGAAGCGGTGAGGGGCCGAGGTAACAATGAAAAGAGAGAGCTTTGTAGGATATGCGTAGAATGTAGTCGAAGAAAGTGAAAGAGATGTTGTGAAAGAAAAGTTAATCAAAATTATAAGAAGTGACGAATTTGTTGCTGAGATGTGGGTTCGTTCGTTTTGGCGATCCAAACAAATGCCGGCACTAAGAGTTACGCACACGCCAAAAAATTTTCCAAGTCACCAAGGGCCGTGAGAGTTCGCTGCGCGCAAACAGTGGGGGCTTTCGAATAGCAACGCTAACAGCGCCGGCAGCCAGCGTTACGGCTATTAGTGGCTATGGCGATAAAAAGCACTTCATACCTATTACATCAACATACAACATCATCAACAAAAACAAAAAAAATACGATGGCAACAAAAATGATGGAGTACACCAACAAAGTTTCACTATCAAAACGCTATTATGTAGTTGGTTTGATTGTTTAACAGACCATTCCCCCCTCACAAATAACAAAAAAATATATGTATGCCAACAAACACACAGACGCGCTCCCGCTTATGTATGTACGTATGTAGACTACGTTCTGCTCGTAACCACGGAGAAAGAAATACACAGGCTTAAAACATTCACATCTGTTTGTACGACAACGGAGTGGGGGGGGGGGAGAAGACAAGTTAGCACTACAGATATGTCGGTATGTGTGTATGTATGTTCGCACTCGTACACGCACACAGCCAGCAACACATTTGGAGAAGCGTTTTCAAAAATAATAATGAAATGAGTAAACAACAAAAGAAGAAAATAATAAATACCAAAAAAAGAAAGAGGCACTCTGCATAGAAATGAATGAAGAAAGCCAGTCAGCAGCCACCGGGGAGAAGCGTTGGCAAACAGCCTTCCAAGCGACAACAACAGTTACGACATGTAGGAGCGAAATTAACGGCACTCTGCGTCCCCACGTCAACGCGAGCGAGCGAGCGAGCGACGAAGGGGGAAACGAACATACGAAAAGCACACACTCACTCACGCACGCATAAACATTACGTTGCCATGAGTACATTTGTGAAAGCACGCACGCATTTGCCCACCAGCGACACGCTAACACACAGACACGACGCTCCTATCGGCTATATTCAACAACTGTTCTCATACCACCGACTGACGGACAGAACGAAACAGCGACACATAGTAAAAGTCTAAAATCAACAAAAATTTCGGCGGTCATTCAACCCAAGAAAACAAAAAAAGAAGAACAAGAACACAGCGCACTCACACACACTCGCTCAGGCAATGATGAGAGAACGATACTCAACCAAATGCGACTGCATTTGTGAGAAGCGAGCGATTGCCACAGACGTCGTTCCTACATTTCGTAGTTGTAGTTCAGTTAACGAGTAAAGCGGTGGGGGCAGGGGTGGTGTTAGGTGTTTGAGAATGGAGGAGGCGAAGATCGACAGAATATAATGAAATCAAACGAAACAGTTAATAAGACCCCCACCTCCCCGCTTTACTGTGACACGCCGGTAAATGATGAAATTCCTAGCCACCGTAACTGCAGTTGAAGGTCAAACAACATTTCTTCCACTTCTCCCATCCTGGTTAAGAACAATAAAAACATACTTCCTTGTCCATTCAAATTAAACAGAGAACTTCTTGCGGTTCCTTAGGTCCCCTCCCTAACACAAGCTTGATGTACCAGGGGCCACTGGTGGCTGTCATGCTGAATTATGCGACTTCATGGAATGAACGATTTCACTCGAAGTGGCTGGAATATCACACTTCGGGTAATCACCGGGCAGAATTGACATTTCAATACAGATCTACAGTTTATTGACTCGCTTCGTATAACAAGAGGAGATAGAAAAAATCATTATCAGTCCACAATTAGCGATGTGGCATTTAGGGTTCTGGTGTTTTCGTAAAAATTTAGACCATTTCAATTTAGAATTTTCAATTAGTGATTAACTTTTTGGCTTACTTTCCAATAAATCATTCAAAACATCAACCAAAATTTGATGGTGAAATTGGCCATCCAGGATCGCAGTTTCAAACTTCTATGTTGCCATATATTGAAAATGGGTGAACTTGTCGTTTTGACTTCCCAGTATCCTCAAGCTGTATTGTTGCCGAGACGGATGACACTATTATTGGCAACAAATGCAGCGGAAATTCGTAGCTTATCAGGGGAACCATGAAGTAAGAAATCCCGC